TAACATATAATCTACCTTTATTTGAAGTAATAGGCAAAATAGCACAATACTCATCAGTCGTATACAGTGCTCCTATTGATATGAGGGCCGGTGCATTGGACACTTCACCTTCGATGGCAATCTAAATACATCCAGACAACAACTGTTAAAAGTCTGACATATCAATCCTATCACCTGATTTACTATTATAATACACTAATCCACGTATAGCTAAGAAATCTAAATTTTAGCTACTTCATGATATAAAAGTCAAAAGAAAAAACTTCGTGAATTGTTTCTTTGATGGGTTTTAATCAGACGATTGTACGAATAAACTTCCGTGCTTTTATCCGTCATTCCTTTTTGCAGCATTTCTTTAATAGCAGTATAAAAACTTTAAGTACAACACTTGATACCTGATAACCAGTCACAGCCGAAAGAGTGACTTGACCTTCTTTCCAATCACTCGAGCTGCTATCTTCATCCACCCATATTTGCCTCCATGGGAACATTTTGTCATCTAAGATTTGGTATAATTTCAGGACCTTTGCTCCGGGGCCCCACAGACGATATTGGAATCTTAGGCATTTTGCAGGTGATTTGACCCACCCAAGTGGTAAGTGATATCGAGGACTCATAATAACTGCCTTTTCTGATGATGTTGATGTCTTGCTTGACACAACGCTAAGGACGTTTCCTGGAATGGCCAAATTAAAAAGACATTATGTTCATTGCTATAGTTTTGACTACTCACTAATACTTTGAGGGTCTCAATGGGGTGGTACGTATCACGACTCACGGCTAAAAAATTGGCTATTTCACGACTCACGACTAAATCTTTCGAATCACGGTTAACTAGATTACTTTGAGAAATTTTTGAAATGAAAACAACGTTTTTCATTTTTCGTGTAATTTGTTTTGTGCTAGAGATACAGTGAGTGTGGGAGCACAGTGTCCCCTTGTACGTTATGAGACATTCAGTTATAAGAATTTTTTATCATCACTCTCAAATATCAATTTTTGTCCATGCCCTGGCTTGTCTGCAGGACCTTGTAATTACTGCCTTGTTGGGACACGGCTTAAAAACGCGTGATTGGCTGATTTGATATCCCTGATAAGCATGCGCTGCTCACTTTTCCGCTGAAAATATGCGGGCTCAATCATTTTTTCTTACACGAGGCAATCAAAATGGCGGACGTTTCTTGACGAACAAGAACGTTTTTCARGGTTTTTCCCTCCTTGGGAGTTTTCTTTTTCGCCATTGATACTTATAATTCTGGTCAAGGAATACTTAGATTACTCCTTAAATAGGTTTGAGGCTCAAAAACACGTATTTCACGTCGAATTTGTTCTTCGATCACACGATTTCATCATATTGTCAGATGTGGCCACCATTTAATTATAYTCAAGGATCATTCTTTGTACCTGGTCATTTTCCTACAGGTGAGTAACTTTCACTTATATTTTCATATTTGGCTGATAAACGTTTTTTTTCCTTTTTCTCTGCTTAGTGCCATGTTTGATTCGCTAATTACATTTTGATCCTATCGAATTCAGTCCAATTCTTTTATTTAACTTACAACTTACTGTGCTTCGATCCGATGTTATTTAACTTACCTATTAAGCTTATAAAACCTTTTTGACTTAAGATATGATATTTATAAGAGACTTTTATTTATTAATTTATTTAGTTCCAAGTTAGCGATGCTTAGCTTCCATGTGTCTTGAGAGACCTCCTTGTGTTTTGTAGGTCTTTGGGCAGCTTGGACATCGTAGCAGTATGYCTGRATCTTGGTGATTTATTTCTAAGTCATTGTCATTTGGTTTTGATGACTTGTTACTAAAGATTGGTTCATGAGGAACTTGTGGAAGAGTTGAGAACATTTTTGTCATTGACTCTTGGACTTCAAAAAACTTGTTTTTAAATTTTTCTTCACTGTCTTCATCTTCATGAAGATTCAAGTCGTCATCTGAATCATCATCTGAATCACAATCATCATCTGAATCATCRTCCTCGTCTCCAGCCAGATATCTGTTAAAAAAGATGCAAAAGAGTATAGGARTGGTCTTCAATTTGTTATAATCTTTTTTCTGTTACCTGTTCATTGTCAATGCCAATTCATTTATTCGACTACRCAATGGTTCTAAACATATTGGACAAACAGAATTTTCTGTTGATGCATAAATGTGATCATCCCATTGACGKCCTAAAGGTAATAGGCAGCATTTGTGGAAAGAGTGCCCACACACRAGTCTCTGGGTATTTGGTTGGGAATCCTCATCTGCATCACAGTCTGGTTTATCACAGAATAGCATGGCATCAGGCTCCATTTCAGGTCCAAATGCAAAGGCAAGTGGAAAACATCTTTGATCAAGAGTTGCATCCAGTGCAGGTAGGTAGTATGGCTATAAATTAAGTTGGAGACATTTGATAATTCATATTTCATATTATTTATGTTTTTTGAATATTTTTTTTCTTCTAAATGCAAAAACTATTCTCTTTTACTGATAATAGTCACTGAAACTTCGCTTTTAAATGTTCTACACCTGCTACTTTTCACACATTTATTGGTAATAGTGATTTGACCCACTTATCAATAAACTTGCAAAGATGGAGTACAAGATTTTCATAAAAATATTTCTGAATATTATTGTGCATGAGCCCTGAACACATTATTGTCTTGTTGTTATATTGAACATAGATCACTATTATCACCTGAAATATCTTTCGACCTTTTGGAATTCTTTCTGTTTGCCCAATTGTTTGCCAAACAGATGCAAAYAGGTCTASCATAAACTGGGCTGCTTTCAATGAATGTGTTGAGAGGTTGGCATGCCCTTCTCCACGTCTGTATTGGGGCAGAAAGTTGTCTTGAAATTCATTAACGAATCTCTGAGCACTTAAAACATGAGCTTGTTGGCTAATATACTCAGCACTGGCCCACATAGGTACAGACCTAAAGTAGAGTTTTGCACAATTTTATAATCTCTTTCTGTTGTGTTATATGTATAGTATTGTGCAAAAAGAATTATATTGACACCAAACAAAAAGCTGTGCTTGGTGACATTATGTTTATTAATTTGGTGTGTTTTTATTTTACCTTCTCAGTTTGGAATGGAACACTTCCACTTTCTTCTCAGWGAGGACATTTAAGAACCTAGTAAACAAGTGGTCAACTCCTGGTAGTTTTCTTAGATGCAATATGTCTGAGATGTTTGATAGTGTTGCTTTGTCGTAGTTTCGCCTGCGGTAAATGATGAACTGTAAAGCA